TGCTTATGAAGATTTTAAACAGTTTGTTATAAATAATAAACTATCCGAAGTAAAAATATTTTTACGACAAAAACTTAAAAATAGTGGTAGCAAATGTTTGCTATCTAAATGGATTTCAGGAACATTCAAACAAGCTGAACGAAATTATACAACCCACGAAAAAGAAACATTGGCATTTATAAATTCTTTAGAAAAATTTAAATTAGATTTACAACCAGTAAAATTTATTTTCCAAACAGACAACCTTTATACAAAAGATTTTACTAAATATAAACTAAAAGAGTCCTACAACAAAGGAAGATTACTACGATGGAGTTTAAAGGCACAACAGTTTGATTATGTTTCTTTATATATTTTTACTCATGAAAATTTTCTTGCAGATACATTAACAAGAGAATGGAAGCAATAAGACCATTACTAATGGAAAGCATGAAAAATTTAGAAAAGCAAGCAGAAGGATTACGAAAGCAACTTGCAAAAATCGAAAATGAAATAAAAGCAATAAGAACAGTCTTATTTCCTACACTTAGACCAATGACAATCGACAACATTCAGACAAAACAGCAAAAAGAAGAAATTACAAATCTCACACGAGAAAAGTTTAACGATGAATTCAAGTTCATTGTTAATTACACTGAGATTGATAAACAGACAAGTATTTATCCCATTGATGGAGTATACCTAGGTCCGAAGGTGGTAGTATTACCAGAAGCAAATCCAATGAAAGTATATATGTTATTCCAATCAGGTCTAATAAGTTGCATCTATTTCAAGGGAACTGATATATTTCAGTACTTTCCGATTAAGATCAGACAAGTTATAAGCCAGTATATATCCAGAATACTAGGAAAAAAGGAAGGATTTCTAAAAATCTTTGCCACAATTCCTGTTTTCACAGAGGGGGTAGAAATTATGCAACTAGCACTACAACTTTGCCAACTTGGAGTAAGTAATACAAATTACCCAGATATAGGAAAAGCATATCATGAGGATGAGACAAATCAGTTTCTTAATAATTATGTCATAATACTCAAGAAAGGCATCTGGCTCAAAGGGCAAATTAATTATGCGGCGAAATCAGTAATCATCTGGAGTATGCAGTCAAGAGATCCATCAGAAAAAGACAGACAGACATTAAACAAATATCTAGATGATCTTATGCAAATTCAGTATGAATTCCCTGCACAGCTAAAGAAGAATATTTGCATCCGATTACAGAAAGAATTTACAGAAGATCATATTTGCAGAGAATGCAAAACAGAAGCAATTGAAGAAATGCTGCCAGAAGAAGAAGAAGATCCAATAATTGAAGAATAAAGACATAAGCGCATACGTCATTAAAATGTAGACAGAATGTAATAAGTCTGTATTGAGTCCCACGACAGATAAGGGACGCGTCTTTTAGTGGTCCATTTGAACCACTTTCTCTTTACTTTTTAAGAGTGGAGAATGGCATCTTACACGATGTCCACCACCTTTTTGACTTTTATAGTGGAGAATGGCATCTTGCATGATGACCACCACTTTTTGACAAAAACAATGGCCTAGCCTTATCACTTAATGCGGTATGGTTTTAGACCATTGATCCTGTCGGCTAATCTTAGCCATCTATCCTTAGCAACTCCGTCTATATAAGGAGTCGAGTACACCATTCATAAGGTGTGCTCAATTCAAGTTTGTATGAAGTCCGAGTCTGTAAAATATTTTCTGAAATAAAATATGTGTGTTTTAAAAAGAATGAGCAGTTAAATAATTACCAAAAGCGAAGCAAAATAGAAGAGTGAAGCAATATACTAAACATTTTCTCAAAGGGTTTCCTGGAGCACTGAAGAGCTGGAGATCGAAAAGGTTGAATGCCAGAAAGATCAAACCCCAGTTATGTTGGAAACAAGGAGAAAATCAGAGGTATATTCTTACCATTCTATATTTTCTCATGGATAATAATAATATGCCATATAGAGAAATATATAAGGATATAAATCGTCTCAAATCAGTAATAGAACAAATTGTTTCATTAACAAAAATGTTAAAAGAATATGAACAAATGATATTCGACCTAGTTAAAAATTATGTACCTAAGGAACGTTCAGTAGAAGATGAAGTTCATTTCCGAATATGCGATGATATTACTCTTCAATTACCAGGATTAAAGAGTTAATAAAGAAAGCTGAATACCAAGCATCTAGTATAAGTGTTCAAATAAGACTAAGAATTCAATATATAAAATAATAAATGATAAATAATGGACAACGAATATCATATTATAGAAAACATAGAAGAACGAGGAATTTATTTATCAGATATATTATTAGATAAGAAGGTAGTAACAAAAGTAAAAAATAAAGGAAATTTAGATTTAGAAAAGAAAGAAGGAATAAATAATAGTATATTAGAAAAATTAAATAGAAAAAACATAATACATTATGGAATAATGAATGGGGAACAACCGATTAGAATAGAACAAGCAAATTATAATTTTCAAGCACCCTTAGTTGAAATAAATCAAATAGAAAAGAGATTAGAAAAAATAAAAGAAGAAGATAGGAAAAGGATAAGTTATATACACATAAACACAGTACAAATAGTATTACGATCAACATTTAGAGAAGGAATAAAAACACCCGTAATATAAAAGTTGAAGATAATAGAATCATGCATAAAGAATCAAGAAAGCTAGGAGAAATAGAAGGAGATTTAGGGTACGGAGTAATTAAATTCAACATATCATTACAATTCCCTATACCCTTATCAACCAAGAAAAAAACATAGAAATAATATGTAATTTTCAAGAAAAAACATTAATGGAATCAGGAGATGTACCTATGGTTGCCTGTTATAGAATAGCATATGCATTAAGTAATAGTAGTTTAAGTATGAATTGTCAAAATCAAGAAAGAATATATACAGAAAAAATATTCAATGAAACTAGTACTATTATTAAAAATGACAGAATTCAAAAGGAATTCTTAAGAGAACATAGTAGACGATCATTCAGTAATTCTCCAAATTTAGGAAAATTAACTGAAAATAATTTATTAAAAATTCAAGAAATTGAAGAACCTCATACTAGTAAAAGTTTATATAAAGAGGATATAACAATAGAAAAATTAAATAAACAGGTTAATGAGTTAAGCTCATTAATTATAAGTTTAAGTAATAAAATATAAATTTGTAATAATGAATAGGAAAGATATAAATCATGAATTAATTGAGCTAAATATAAGGGAAATAAAAGAAGTACACTATTTAATAGAGAAATCAATACAATATAAATACATAAAAAAAGATGAACAAAAATTAAAACAACTAGATTTTGACAACAAAGGTATAAGCAAAAATTTAAGATAATAAATAAAATAGGACCACCTAAAACAATAATATAAATGTCTTCGAATAAAGGAGTATATAAAATCAGGCCAGGAAAAATATCTAAAAGAAAAACAAGTTTTTCAGAAACACAAAGATTAAAAGAATTTCTTTCTAACTGTAGAATTCAATTAGACTGTGAATTTAAATGTTCTGAAAAGAAAAGTATCATTAGAAATAATTTCACTACATTAATAGACTTTTTAAATAAAGATATTAAAAAACATATGGAAGAAAATAAAGAAGAACCTGATACTAATCAGCTTATTCTTGAAAAATTAGAAAGAATAGAAAATAAAATCAAAACATTAGAAGAAAAAGATACTCCTATATCTTTAGGAGATTGGATTAATCTATAGGTAATATTTTACAAATGGAATTTTTTATAAAGAATTTAAAAAATACTTATATACAAGTAATACAAATTATAAATAAATAGAACTTGACTAGAAAGTGGTATCAGAGCAAGGCAACGATTAAAAAATAAAAATGAACATAATAAAAATTTATGGAAAATTTAAAATATAAAAGCAGATATAACAAGATATACTTATAACGAGTTTAGAATTTTATTATGACATAATGATGAAAAGTGAAGAAAAATTAAAAAGATTAATGAATCTACAAAAACAAGCAACAGTTGCATAAAAATAACATATTAAAAATACTATAACTACAAATAACACTATTGAATAAAATAATAATAATAAATGGCTAATGACACCCAATGGGTGCCACCCTCGCGGGTGGCATCGAGTGAACCCTCTTTCCCAAACCCTTTAAGTTTATGGTGCAACTAAATATGATTTTTTTATTCACTGGATAGTTTTTCTTGGACAAAAATACAACTGCATATATTTTTTTTTACTCAGTTCACTATTCATCTAATCCAACTTAACAATCATCAATATTATCAATATAATTAAATAATATCAATCAATCATTATTTATCATTTTTCATCAAAATTCACTATTCAAGTACTCACACATTTTTAACTACCAATCATTTGCAATTATTATTTTACTAGTTTTATATCACACTAATTTTAGTTATTACATTTATCTCATATCAATTCACAAACTCCAAATTAAATCTAAAATTTCCACTAAAGCAGTTCATTCTATTCTCAACTTATTTAATCCAATATTATTTTTCCTCCTTGCATTGAGGTCGCAAAATCAACTTGGATGAGTCAGGTGTCCAGCAACTCAAAGCATGGTAAAAAAATAATTCTGAAAATAACTGAAAAACATATGAATTAATTTTCAATGACTCCAGTTCCCTGAGCTCAAATGATTGAAAGTGTAAAAGTGGCTTCATAACTTTTGTTCCGTCTCTGTTCAAACAAAATTTGTTCTCAAGCCAAGCTGGCTTAGATTCTCTTATTGGAAGTTCGGATTATTGTTGGTGCATTGTAGTATCTAGACTCCTCTGGAATGTCCTCTATCTAGATTCGGCTTATAGCCAATTTCTAGTTATAATTATGTATNAGCTGGCTAAAGTAAGCATCCACAATTTAACATTTTAGTTTCCCCTTATTTTGCAGTTGAGCATCTCATACTACTTTTTCTCGAGACTTACTTTTCTAAATTCTAAAAACGAAAGCCGATATCCATTAGAAATGCACAATGCCTATCCTCCAAAATTCTACTTTTGATCTGAAACATTTAGCCTTTTGCTGGTAAAAAGTTTCTCAAGTTCAGTGTTTTGAGCCGAACAGATGGTAGCATTGACATGGTGAAAACTAATATAAGTTCACCAAACATCCCAAAAGCACCAAGTTTTGAAGAACTTTGACCAAAATTCAAAACGGTGCACCAACACATAGCATCGTGCAGTTGCTCATAAATTTACCAGGAGTAAGGAAAAACTCCGGCATTTCCAATTTAATATAAAATAACGTCTTTAATCAACAATATTCAGGGGTCACAAAATAAATTGCACTTGGAGATCTTTGGAGCTTACAACCTTCATTCATGAACCATCTCCAATTCTTTGCTCGCAACTCCAGTGCCAATAATTTAGTTAAAGGCAACCGACTATATTTGATAAAAACATATGCCAACCTGTAGAAGCAATTGAACGGTAAGACTAAATAGATAGTCAGAAGTCTCAAATGCAGCGAATTTGATAAACTATGCACATCAACAGGGTGTGATGCATTGCCTGCTCAATGCAAATAACAAAATAAGGAAAACATAAATAATAGTAAGGGATAGAAATAATAAGAATATAAATTTATATGCTCCAGGTACTCAGAACAGCATATTATATAATTCTAAAAAGTTTCTCAAATTTCAAGTGAAGCTTTCCTCATTGCATCTTTTAGTATAACCACATTATATCACGAGCACTACACACCTATTCACTTTTATAAACATCTTTTCGCATAACCATCTTTGTTAAAAACTTCCCCCATTACACAGTTTTAATATTAAGAATACCAGCCAAGCAGCCAAAAAACCCATAAATTATAGCAGGCAGAAAAACAATGCCTTCATGAAGAATGAAAACATGTTCGGAATAAAAAAAAATAACCAAAAAAAAAATAAAAAAAATTAACTTACTATCTTCTTAGACTTGATGCAGCTCCAGCTTCCCTGAAAAATATACAGATATAAGTACCACATCATTTAGTTATGAAGCTATATAGCCAAAAGCAGAAACAAGGAGAAAGTTGAATATGTATCAAGGAAGAATACCTGTTGCGTGCACCCTTTCTTTCAGAATAACCAGGGGCATTCATGTCCAAATGATCTTTAGCCTTACTGATAATCTTCACATTCGAGCCCCTACCAAGATGAAACGAACCACGGCCATTCATGTTCTGATTCGGAGCATCTAGGATCTGAGAAGGCCCGTTGTTCGGTTTAGGTCCAACGGGCTCAGGAAACCTAGCCATTTTTAGTCGTTGAGACTGAGCCATGGGCGTGACCGCCACAGAAGGAAAGAAGGACGAATAAAAAGAGGGAGCTGCAGCAGCAACTTCAGCAACAGCTGCTGTGGCTGCTATCAGTTGTTGCGCCCCTTCCCGAAGCTGAATGTATTCGCCCTCAATAGAAAATAACTACAATAACGAGAAAAACGACTCGATAAATAAGTTTAAGAAAATGATGTATATTAGTATGTTGGTATTGGATTTTTATTTTACAATGCCCCCTATGTGGTTGAGTAAAGTAGTTAATAGAAGACAAAATTCATCAGGGATATTCTAATTAGGCCTTTCTGTAATTAGGTCAAGCTTCTAGCGTGACTCTAGGAATTATCTGAAAAGGACAAGTCACAAGAAAAAAAAAGTATGCCATACCTCTGGATGACTGGCCACAAAATCATCAAGCTTCCCATATTTCTTTTTGTAATCATGCCAGTGAAGTGGGGCAAGCATTTTGGCAAGTCGATTAGGAAGCTGTCCACGTGCATTGGAAAAGGCTTAAGTTATGTTATAAAACAGTAAAATACATAATTCCTAAACATGTAAACAAAATTATTTTGCTTACCGTAGTGCTGATCCTAATTCTTCCACCAGATCCTATTGCGCGGGCTATGGAAGCCAGCAATGCTCTTTCGTCAATCAGATAACTGTCCTCAAGCTTTCCTACGATGTTATTTTTCTGCCCAGCAGCAACAGTGGAATCTGCCAAATCTACACTCGAGGCAGCATCTATGGTTGCTTCACTTAAAGTTTCAGCATTAGCCACCGCTTCAAATGTTGTGGCATTAATGGCAGGATTTGAATGTTCAGACATCATATTCTGATGTTCTGTTTCCTGGTCAGTCCCTGATTCGACTGTCTTCTCCTGAGATAGCATTAGAATAAAATGAACTCTAATCACACCCAGAATATAAACTATACATCAAAGACACACATATATAAATGAATAAATAAAAATTATGCAAGGTCAATGCAGGGATGAGAGTAATCAAACCTTAGCTCCTTTGCCACGCTCAATAGGATTCAGGCTAAGGGCATCGCGAAACTGGGAAGATATCATGTGCAGCCTCTGTGGGGAATTGGAATTGTTGTAGGTTATATCAACCGTATCAAGAACCTATGTGATGTCAGAAAAATGACAAAAAGAAGGGTATGGAATCAATCCGTGCAAAAGTTAAGTTGGAATTTATCCTTAATGTAAACTCATATTTTTTAGCTACTAACCTGTCCCTCTCCGTTTGCTAATGGACTCACAGAATCAGTATCTAAACCTTGGCTGATTTTCGTATCTGGAAAGTCCCCACAAATTATGTGGTCATTTACTGAAGGTTCATGGTCGTACAGGGAGTCTGTTCTGGATAGTTTTTCTTCAACTTCCTGAGGATACTGGTTATGGGTTGGTTCATTTTGGTCATTTGGCTGAGGCTTCATGGTAAAGCAAAGAAAAGCGTCAATGTTAAGAATGTTTTGCAATTTTTTTAAGAACCATCAAATAGGAAAAAAAAAAATGGTGGACATGTCATTAACCTGTTGTTGGTCCTGCCAGTTTTGTGTGGGTGGCATTGCAGATACAACATGAAGATGAGACTGCAGTACTTGTGATGGGATTGGTAGACCTTGTTGGTGCATCACAAAGGGATGCAAAGCAGCCATTTGTCCAGTTGGAATGTAGGTTGGCATACCGAGTAGGGATGAAGGAGCAAATGTAACATGACGGTGGTCGCCCTAATAAACAAAAAAAGTAATACAGACTAATTTTATAATTCATCTTATGGATTCTGGACTATAGTCCCAACAATGAAAAACGATTCTTCAAGCGGCTTCTAGAAAGGGGTAGGGTTGTTATAAATTAAAATGGAAAGACCAGAAACATGAACTTGTGCTGAAATCGTTTTGTGTGAACAAATTGCAGAGAAATGATTGCATGAAATTTTTTTTAAAAAAAAATTCATTAGGAAAACCACAGGTATAGAAGTTAAATGAAAAAAAAAATATTAATTTATGAGGTCAACAATCTTCAAAGGCAAGCAAAAGAAGCAACCAACAAGTGATTAATATATTACCTGTGTTGTGATGTTTAATCCAGAACCACTTTCAGAATTTCCACTTTGTACGCCATTAGAATCCGCAATCTTTGAAGTATTATCATTTATCTCAAGCTGGCTGTCATTGATCTTTTCTAGTTCAGAAGGACTTTTCGCGTTCGTCCACGAGGTATTTGAACCATCCAAGTTACTCCCACCCTTTTCTTTGACATCAGCCAATTCAAGATGGAACTGTTGTATAAGCAAATGTAGTCTTTCCATCTCAGCAAACTGATAGAAACAAAAATATTAAGTTAGCATATACTGAAATGAAAGGCACAATCAGATGTCGCATTGGATCAAATATCAATCACTATAGCTTAATCACCTGTGTTTGGCAACCTAGCCAAAGCTGATTATAGTGTTCCGTGCGTTCTCGCAGTTCAACTTGTAAAGTATGGTTGGTAGTTGATTGCAAAGCATCCATTTCCTGGGCACGAGTTATCCAGGCTTGTGCCTCTCGCAACTGCTCATCCTTAAAAAGGATGGTTTCTTGAGCAATCCTATGCTGAATGAGAAGAAAGACTATCAGTCCTAACTTATATATATAATACTGCGTCAAAATTTCAGACATGTAGGACAGGGCATAGCAACCGTTTTTCTTCCAAAAAAACATCATTGAAGAACAGCATTGCCTCAAAAGCATTAAAGCAGAACCATAGCGCATTCACATAAGAAAATGTAAGCAGACTAGCTGAAATGGGTTCCGAGACTATGACAACAGCTTCTTCAAAATATTGTAGATTACAACTGTATAAGATACTTGAATCAAGGTGCTTCTAATTAATACTGATTGCATAAGAAAATATATAATATAAATGTATACGTATAAGCATGTTTATGCCAACAGACCTGGTCTTGCAACTCCAGGAATAGGCGATCCTTCTCTTGAATATGTTCTTGAAGATCATGGATTTGCTTAATATGTTGCAGTCTTTCAGCTTCAGAGTTATCCCTCTCCCTCCTGCAAGATAAAGTACGTGTAACCAAAAACTTTTCAAAGCACAGGCAGAATAGAATTTACTATCGGTATACCGAATCAATAGCAGAGAAAAGTGACCTACTGCATTGGCCAACACAAACTACAGCGATACAACAAATTAAAATATATAAGTATATAAGCTCTGATTCCAACAATCAATTCATCGAAAAACAAATAGAGTAAACAAAGCACACATTCATCACTTAAAACAACACATCAATTTCAAGTACCAACAACGAAATACCAATTGAAACTCCAAAAGGTACCTGTAGCTCTGGAGCTCTTGGCTTTGTTCCCTCAAAAGATCATCCTTGGCCCAAGCCTGCTAAAACAAATGAATAGGTTTAATTCAAGAGAAAATCAACAACTGTGTATGAAAACACGCCTGCAGAGTAAGGAAAACATAAGAGAGCATCGAAATCATCAAGCTAACCGCTTCATTATCTAATCTAATAGCATGCAGCTCTCTTTCTTTTTCTTCCATCTTTCTCCCCAACTCATGTATCTTCTGTTCTTTTTCACGCAGATGCACCTAAACAATAGACCATACACCTAAACGTTAGTAACAAAAAAAATAAAATCATGCCCAATAAAATCCATGAATCTAATACATGTACTAAAAAGCTTAACAAAACAACAGTGTTCCACCCAAATAATGTGTAAAACCTGAAGTTTGGCATTGGCATCTGCATGTTCTTTGATTTGAGTATCAAATGTATTCTGCATTCCCACGATTTCTGATCTCACAATGACCTGTGCACGGAGCTCAATCTCCACCTGCTGCAGCTCCTCCCTTTGTTTTGCCAAGGCACCAAGTCTCTGCTGCATAATATCATTGTCCAAACATCCATCAATGGTTATCGAGCAAAAATCCACATCTACTGGCTCCCTCCCACGATGTACCTTAAATTACAAATAGCAACTCACCATCATTGGGACTTGCATGATAGTTGCAGTGGAAGGAGACAGAGAAACATGTAACAACAACTTATAAAATGATTAATACTATACCTCATATATTAATCTCTCATCAGACTGGACCAGCTTTGAACGATCCAACCCCTGCAGATGAAAAACATAAATAAATGACAGAAGATGTACGAAAAAACCCTAAAATTCACAAGAAATGTTGCATTACGAGCAAGTGAGAGAGACAGAAATCGAGCAAAGGCCAGTCCAAGTAGTACTTGGCTACCCGCAGACTCAATAAGAATCATTTAAAACATATTTACAAATAACAGCAAATTATCAAAAGGTAAGAAGAGATAAATGCAAGTAGCTATGTCAACCTCGTCGCCAGAGTTACGCATTGATTGCTCAGAGACGACGCGCCACTCCTTGCGAGAGGTATGAGATGAAGACGACGACATAGGCGGAACCGGTAGACCGCCATTCAGCGCGCCAGCCGGGACAGCAGGCGCGGCCTCCATGAACTCGGAAAACTAGAACACTCGTCCAAAACCAAATCCTAATTCCTCATTAAACCCTAAAGAATATCGAGAAAAATGAAAAGCGTATTAATCAGGAGTGAGGGAGAGAAATCGGTCAGCAAGGAGTCGAAATCGAATAATGAAAAATGTTTGTCACACTGTCTGGCAGTGGAGTTTTGGGAGTATTTGAGATGGCTTTTGTGAATTAGAGGGTTTAGAGGGGCTCCAAGCTAAATTAGTAAAACTCACGAGAGAGAATGAGATTGGAGTTTAGTAAAAAATGAATTCGGAAATGCTCCCGCCATTTATAATTGGAGAAAAATAGTTGAACAATTATTTGGATTACGCTTGTCTATACTTATATAATAAAAATTAACATTTATCCAAAATAGTAGATCAAATTATGGTCAATGTTGGATTTGCATTAAATATTTTCCAAAATTGGTAAATTTTTGTCCTTTTCACACTTCTCATTAATTATGTCATTTTCACACTTCTTATTAATTATGTCATTTTCACATATCTAATTTTCTTTAACCTTTAATTAATCTGAACTGATTGCCTTGACTTTTCAATTTTTAATTTTTTTTTTTAAAATATTTCGGCTTAAGATTCGGATTTCATTATACAAGTCATCGGATTATTTGAATGAAAATGAATGAAAAGAACACGAAAAACAGGTAGCCTTATTCGTATAACCAATCCTAAAAGATTAGTTTGTTCACCAAAAAGAGACAAATCCTAGAAATCCTAAAATATTAGTTTGTTCACCAAAAATATTAGTTTGATTTTTAGGATTTGTCTCTTTTGAAAATATTAGTTTGTGATAATGAGGAGTTACCAAATAATCAAACCCATAATGTTGTGTACAAGGAGGTTTTTAATAATATATGATTGTTACCGAACTTTTTATGATTCAACAATGTTCCTATATATTTTAATGATTTCAATTTCGATCCTAATGCACGTGAGGTTATATTATTCTTCCAAATTTTTTACATCCCGTGCATCGCACGGGTTACGTACTAGTTAGTAGTAAGAATCTACTATTACTGCATGATAGGTATGAAGGAATGACATGAGAATTGAATGATCATTCTCTTATTCATTCTTTATTCTATGACTGGTATATTTTTTTGGAAAGTAATAACCATTTTAATTGTAATGACAAAATCCATCTTCATGGGATTAGTCATTCCATAGCTAATGAAAAGTTTTCTCATTCTCATGTGTATAAGAATCAATTTTTCAAAAAATAAAATTAACAAATAATAAAAAAAATATATATATAATATGTACAATAAATCATGATTAAAATATATTAAATAAAATTATTTTAAAAAATAAAATTCAAATAAATAATTGAAAACTTACTTTTATTTATTGTTTAATTAGAAATATTAAATACTTATATAAAAATAAAACTAAAAAAAGCATTTATATATAATTTAAAAATATATTATTTTATTTTTATACATCATATTTATTAAATATTTATTCATAAATTGAATTATAATATAAAAAATTATATTCGGCAACATATACTTATAGTGGTTTATGCAATGATGTATTTGTATTAGTTAATGAAGGAATTTCGGTTGCTCCATTAGTGAGAAAGATACAAGCAGAATGATTTAACCAAAGGAATATTTCATATATTTCTTATCATTGAATAATAATGAGATTACAACCATTGCTTGGTTATATAGCAGCCACAGAACAATCTAGAATCATAACACCTCACCTAAATGGATAAGTTCAAAATTCAAAAAAGATTCCATTCACCATGACAACTCAATTTACCCTCTGTCCTTTGGTACAAACCGTTGGGAGCTTTTTGGCTACATCTGTCATGCATGAGTGCATGCATTGTGGACTAGCACGTGAGACTTGCGTGCTGCATGAGTGTCCAGTGGAGTGGGGCATATCTGACGTGGCTGCCGAGCTGGATGTGGAAGAGCCACGACATGCAGAAGCTGTAATCCTTTTATGCCCCCTCAATTCGAAATCCGGCTGAAGATGAACATTAAGTGAATGACGCAGGCGGTTGAAGAATTGTCCACTGAGAGCTTAGTGAATATGTCGCCCACCTGGAAAAGAGAGGGAACATGCTGTACAGAGATGACTTTGTCATTAACTTTTTCTTTGATGAAGTGCATGTCAATCTCCACATGTTTGGTTCTGGAGTGGTGGACTGGATTGGAAGCAAGTGAGATAGCACCACGATTGTCAACCCAAATGACAGAAGGATTTGAAGGGTTGATATGCAATTCTCATAGCAACGATTGAAGCCATATGACCTCACATGAGGCAGAAGCAAGGCTTCTCAACTCTGACTCGGTACTGGACTTGGACACAAGATGTTGCTTCTTTGAACTCCAGGATACTAAGTTCTTGCCTAAGAAAACACAGATTCCAGAGGTTGATTTCCTATCATCAATATCTGAGGCCCAATCCGCAATAGCGAAGGCTGTGATTTTGAAGGAAGACTGAGTAAAGAAATGTAGGCCATAATCTAAAGTTCCTGCTAAATACCTCAAAACTCTTTTGAGAGCCTTCATGTGACTGAGCATTGGCTGTTGCATAAATTGACTCAGTTTATTGATGCTGAAGGCAATATCTGGCCTTGTAATTGAAGCATATTGTAAAGCACCAATTAAGCTTCTGAATATATAACCATTTTCTAAAGGTTGGCTTTCAAATTTTGAAATAGGAGAACTGACCATAGGAATGGTTAGGGACTTTGAATTTTCCATACCAGCCTTTTTGAGAATGTCAAGAATGTATCCTTTTTGAGACAAAATACAACCATCTGAGGTGGTGATGACCTCAAGGCCAAGGAACAACTTCCGTGCCCCTAGATCTTTTAATGAAAAAACTTTGGACAGATCATTGATGAGCTGCTGAATATAAACTTCATTGCTTCCAGTTATTATCATGTCATCAACATAAGTGAGAGTCAGTGTAGAATCACCTTGACTATGTCTGTAATATAAAGAAGGGTCCACTTTGGACACACTGAAGCTAAAAATTTTCAGAATAGCAGTCAACTTTGAACTCCAAGCCCTAGAAGCTTGTTTTAGTCCATAAATGGACTTCTTGAGTTTGCAAACCAATGGTCTTCCATCAAGACTCTTCTGCTCAAAACCTGTAGGCTGGTCCATGTAGAGTTCATTGTCCAGTTCCCCGTTTAAGAAGGCATTGTCAAAGTCCAATTGTCTTAATTTCCATGATTTTGAGAGTGCAATTGAAAGGACCGTTCTTATAGTGACTGGCTTAACCACTGGGTTGTATGTATCTGTATAATCAAAACCTGCTTACTGTGTGAAACCCTTGGCAACTAGCCTTGCTTTGTGTCTGATCACTACACCATCAGCCCCTTTTTTGAGTTTAAAAACCCATTTACAGCCAATGATATTAGCATGTTGAGGAGGTTCACATAGAGTCCATGTGTGATTCTTAATTAGTGTTTTGTATTCTTCATGCATGGCATGTGACCACTGTTGGTCCTTGACAGCTTCCTCAAAACTCTCAGGTTCTTCAGATTGGATGTCACTTTGCTGCATAAAAATTTTAGGCTTGTATATGCCATGTTTTGACCTGGTCACCATATGGTGCTTGGAAGGCCTGTCTTGCTCATGCACATTCAAGTCAGAGTTAGTAGATAACTGAGTATTATCCTCTATTGGCAAATCAATAAAAAGTTCTTAAATAGGAATAGAGGTTGGCTGAGAAGTATTGTGAGAATGAGAGGAAGATGTAGAAGAGGGACTATGAGACTGAGAGGGGATATGTTGAGAGTGGTTATCAGTAGGAGAATGACTTTGAATGGGTGGTGGGTCAGTCTTGGTGTGGTCAATGCAAGGTATTATTGGAAATGGAGTTGGCAGAGGAGTGGTGGTCATGGTTTTGAGTGGTTTTGTTAGGTGCTTGCTTATTTGAGAAGGGGAATTTGGATTCATCAAAGCGAACATGCCTGGTTATGATCACTTTGTTGTTTGGCAAAAGAACTTTGAAGCCCTTGTGTTGACCACTGTAACCAATGAAGGTGGAAGGTTGGCTTCTATATTCCAATTTGTGCTTGTTGTATAGTCTAACGTAAGGATAACAAAGGCAACCAAAGACTTTGAGCTCAGTGTAATTTGGTTTCTTTCCTGATAGGACTTCCAATGGTGATTTATAATTAAGTTGTTTGGAAGGCATGAAGTTAGTGAAGTGACAAGCCTAAATGCCATTTGGTCTGTTAGGCCTAAGTAGTAAAAGCATGGTCCCAAAATTTTGTATGAAGATGGCTTTGAGAGAGAAGTGATAAATGTTGGGATCTGTGAGGATCTCGTTATGTACAAGTCACGAATTCAATAGCAAACGTAAACCTATGCGCAGCGGATCTAAAGGTTTGACGTAGAGAACTTACGGCTTAAAATTTATGTAGATCTGGTTGACCACGAACGGTTGACCGCAATTGATTGACCGCAACACGCGTCTTGGGTTGCACGAACAAGATCAGATCAAAACTGGATCAAACGGATGCAAACAGATCAAAACGAAATTTTGCTGCCAGACACCTTCCGGCGGCGCGTGAGGGCGCGTGCGGCGTCGGATTCCGGCGACGTCGGCGGCGATGGAAAGCTCTCGTCGAGACGGTCGTCTGGGTATACTGTACGTCTCAATCGGACTTCCGGTTAGTTCTGTAGGTCAAAATCAATTTCGTCTCGGTTTACCTACAGATCTTCTACTGTATTACTCAATACACCCTTCTTCAACTTGTACCAGTGGAGCAACAAGAAGAAGATAAAGCTCGAATGAGATCTAGAGAGAGAGGCGTGTTTCACGTGAGAATGAATTCTATTCTCTTCTCATGAGCTTAATGATGTATATATAGAGCTACAGTAGGGACCCTAAGGAGATTAGGAAAAGGGCTCCTTAATTAATTAGACTAACTGTGGGCCAAACCCACTCCTCTAATTAATTAAATAATATTAATGGGCCACCAACATTATATTATTGCACTCCCTTTCCCTAGCCCAAATTACATTTGAGACTCCAATAATAATTACTCGATTTACCTCCCCACGTTTAAGATATAATGTCCATTAATTAATTCGATTACTGACAATCAAGAATTAATTAATTTATTATTATTTCACCGAAGCTAGCGCTCGTTCATCACATTCTTATTATGCCGGAATTTAATCCACCTGCAGGGTTTAGCATAACAATCCTTCATGAACTCACTCCGGGGACATCATCAAACTAACGCACATGGTGACCGTA